CCGTGCACTCAGCGCTGAATAAACGCACCCACTTGAAAACCTCATGGGTTTGGAGTCTGCTTTCCGCAAGTCACTAGGGTAGGGTCTTGGTGCTTGGGGGTTTTTACTGGGGTCATGGGGGAGTTGAGGGGGTTAATAGTGTCCTGAGGGGGGGCGGCTCTAATGGGCTCCTGGTGGCGGTTTCTGGGGGAGATATTGGGGTCCTGAGGGACAGTAAAGGGGTGCAGGAAGGGTCTGTTCGGGGCTAGTGAGGTCCTGCGGGGGATCTTGTGGGGGAAAATGGGGTCCTGGGGGGGCTAATGGGGCTTAGGAGAGTCTTGGGAGTGGGCTGGTAGGGTCCCAGGGAGATATCTGGGCTCTTGGGCTGTAAAATGGAGAACTGGGGGGCCATAGGAACTGGTGGGGCACTAATGATGTTGGGGGGGGGAGGGAGGGGAGGGGGTTGAGGGTGTTTTGGAAGGACCTAGGGGTGGCCAATGCAGTTTGGGTAGAGTTCAGGGGGGATTTGGGATTCCTGGGTGTCCCAGGGGTACCTGTCGTGTGTCGTGTCGTTCCCTACACCCCACCCCCCCCAGCCAGTGCTGCTGCCCCAGGGGTAGCCTGAGTGCATCAGCCCTGACTACATCCAGTACCAGTGTTGGGACACCCTTCAGCTGCTACTGGGAGGACTGGGACAGGACTGGGAGTCACCAGGAAGGGTACTCAGAGGGGCTGAGGGGGATTTGGAGATGTTGGGAGGGAGTGAAGGGTCTAGGAGGTAACTGCGAGGGAGGCATGGGGTACTGGGAGGTAACTGGATGACAACTGGGAATACTGGGATGGGTTGCAGGCAACTGGGAGGTAATTGAGAGGCAGCTTTAAGATACTGGGAGGGTACTGAAGGCACTGGGATAGACTGGAGGGCACCAGGAGAGGATTGGAGACACTGGGAGGTAGTTGGGGGCTACTGGAAAGGGATGGTGGTTTACTGGGAGACACTGGGATGTAGCTGGAAGGGGGCGGGATGGACTGGGGTAACTGCGTGGTAACTGGGAGGTAACTGGGGGTGCCTGGGAGCACTGGGTGGGCACTGTGCAAACCCTGACAGGCGCCCTGGCCACCCAGGAAGTGCTGCGGGGTGAGTCCCCCTGACCCCAAACCCCCCCTTTTCTCTCCAAACATTGCCCTTGGTCCCCAGATCAATGTGCAACCACCACATCCCCCAGTTTTACCCAAAAATTTCCCCATTTAACCCCAAAATCAACTTCAGCACCCCCCAAAACTCCTATGTTTCACCCCAAAAATCTACCTGGAAACTCAAAATCCCCCAGTTTTACTCCAAAATCTGCTCCAGCAACCCCAAAAGCCTCCCAGTTTCACTCCAAAAATCCTCCTTCAACTCCAGATTCCCCGTTATACCCCAAGGTGTTCTAGTTTGACTGCCAAATGTCCAATGCTCACCCCAAAATCTCTTAGATTCACAAAAATTCCTCAGTTTGACCCCAGAAATTGCTCCAGCACCCCCAAACCCCCCCAGTTTCTTCCCAAATTACACCATTTCACCCCAAACACCCCCCCCCCCCCCCCCCCCCCCCCCCCCCCCCCCCCCCCCCCCCCC